TAGTAGTAGTGTTAGTATTAGTAGTAGTATCGTTATAATTGCTTTCATTATTATCATTATCATTATCATTATCATTATCATTATTATTATTATCATTATTATTATTAGTAGTAGTAGTAGTAGTAGTATTTTCATTATTATTTCCATTGCTAGTTATCATTACTGTCAGCCTAATATCATTATAAATATCATTATCACTGGTATCCTCCCCCGCCTCCTCCTCCTCCTCATCATCATCATCATCATTATCATTATCATAGGCATTAACAACCTTTAAATATCCAGCATTATCGTTAACATACTTATCATTTTCATCATCATCATTATCATCAATATTTCCATAATCACTACAACAAAAAGAAAAGAAAAGAAAAGAAAAAAAAAAACGAAAAAAAAAGCGAAAACAAAAAAAAAAAGCGAAAACAAAAAAAAAATCTGTGATATAAACCAAGTTTGTATCAGCAACAATTTCAAAGTTATTAGTTCCATTCTCATTACTTTACAATTGTTTACGAGCCGCTCCGCGAAACGCTACGTTCACGTCCGCGCGGAAGTTGAAGAGTTTAGACCTTCTGACTCAATTAGAAGGGAAAGCGTACGCAATTTCTTTCGAATGATGTTCTTGAAGGAGTCTTGAAATTGCGTCTTCAGTTCGCCCAACTCCATCACACAAAGTCTTAACATCCCAACTTTAAAAGGAGATCATCTTTATCTTAATCGGAGGCATGTTGGTGTGTTTGTGTGTGGGTGTTTGTGTGTAAGTGTGGGTGTGGGTGTTTGTAGGTGTATGTGTGTAAAATTGTGTGTGTTTCTGTGTGTGTTTGTGTGTGTTTGTGTGTATGTAAGAATGTGTATGGTTGTAGATATATGTGTATAATAGCGTGTGTGTGTGTGTTTGTGTGTGTCTGTTCGTGTGTGTGTGTGTGTGTAAGTGTGTAAATGTGTGTGTGTGTGTAAGAATGCGTGTGTGTTTGTGTGTATTATATGTGTGTGTGTGTACATGTATGTGTATGTGTGTATGTGTGTCATGCTTGAATGTTTGTATATGTGCAACAATCTATGTGTGTGCTCGCCAACATTTCATCGTGCAAATGTTGCTGCTATAAACAATGCAGTACAGAACAACATGCTCACACTTTTTCCATTTATTTTTAAACAGGAGAGCTATCAACCCCCCCCCCCCCCCAACAAATAATAATGATAAAATAGAAATAATAAATATATAAATAAACAAATTTAGTTGAATGATACAAATAAGGGGAGAATTGTGGAAAATTAATATTGCTGAAATAATCTGTGAGAAGAAAGATACATACATACATACATACATACATACATACATACATACATACATACATATAGATAGATAGATAGACAGACAGATAGATAGATAGATAGATAGAGAGATAGATAGAGAGAGAGAGAGAGAGAGAGAGAGAGAGACAGAGAGAGTGAGTGATGAAATGACCAGAAGATGGATACACAACTGTATGGATCAGACGTAGTAAATGAAATGGGAAACTGGCGCCGTAGATTTTATGCAGACTGAATATGAAAAACTCACCTGAGAGAGAGAGAGAGAGAGAGAGAGAGAGAGAGAGAGAGAGAGAGAGAGAGAGAGAGAGAGAGAGAGAGAGAGAGAGAGAGAGAGAGAGAGAGAGAGAGAGAGAGAGAGTAAAGAGAGAGAGAGGGAGAGAGAGAGAGAGAGAGAGAGTTAGAATTAAGCTGAATGAAAGTAGTTAGGGAGTAAATAAATAAGAGAGAGGGAGAAAGAGAGAGAGGGAATGAGAGAGAGAGAGAGTGAGAGAGAGAGAGAGAGAGAGAGAGAGAGAGAGAGAGAGAGAGAGAGAGAGCAGATAGATAGAAAGAAAAGAGAAAGAGAAAGGGAGAGAGAGAGAGAGAGAGAGAGAGAGAGAGAGAGAGAGAGAGAGAGAGAGAGAGAGAGAGAGAGAGTGAGATGGATAGATAGATAGATAGATAGATAGAAAGAGAAAAAGAGAGAGAAAGAGAAAGAGAGAGAGAGAGAGAGAGAACGAGAGAGAGAGAGAGAGCGAGAGAGAGAGAGAGAGCAGAGAGAGAGAGAGAGCAGAGAGAGTAGAAAGAGAGAGTAGAAAGAGAGAGAGAGCAGAGAGAAAGCAGAGAGAGGGGGGAGGGGGAGGGGGAGAGAGGAGAGAGAGAGCAGAGAGAAAGCAGAGATGGGGGGGGAGGGAGGAGAGAGAGTAAGTAAGTAAGAGTGAGAGGGAGAAGAGAGAGAGAGAGAGAGAGAGAGAGAGAGAGAGAGACTGAGACTAAGACAGAGACAGAGCCAGAGAGAGAGAGAGAGAGCCAGACAGAGAGACAGAGACAGAACCAGAGACAGACACAAACAGACAGAAACACAAACACTCACACACACATAGAAGAAAATAAAACGAACCAAAAAACATATAATGACATTACTCTACAATTAAAATCATAGTTAGCGAAACGACAAACCCACAGACGGATCTTAAGAACTCAC